CACACACACACACACACACACACACACACACACACACACACACACACGCACGCACACACACACACACACAACCCTTACTTCTAACTGTATGAGGACACTCATTGACATAATGCATTCCCTACCCCCTTTCCCTCACCTAAACCCTCACAACTAAATGCCGAACCCCAATCTTAACCCTCAATTCTAATTCTAACCTGAACCTTAAATACAAACATGAACCCTCCATCAGGCCTTTGAAGAGGTGAGGACAGGCTGTCCAGAATGTCCTCACTCCGAAGGTCTGTAACTCAAATGGGTCCTCACAAAGATAGATAGAAGTACACACAAACACCCCTCTCTCTCTCGCTCTCTCTCTCTCCCTCCCCCTCTCCCTCTCTCTCTCTCTCTCTCTCTCTCTCTCTCTCTCTCTCTCTCTCTCTTCAGTGATTTTGAGGACACACACACAGCTCTCCTTGGCATGGCTCTGCATGTGTGCATCAGACTGTGTGCCCTTATAGGGCAGCAAAGACAGAGGAGAAAGAGTCTGTATGTGCCCATATATTTATTCAAGAGTGTGAGAAGTTGTGGTGGTAGTATCGTCATTAGGTTATTGGAGAAACCTGAAACCGAGGTAGCACTTTCTATAAGATGGAGATCTTGTGCTAGAGTTATTGTTAGCTAGCACAACTAAATATATAATCATGTTTTGTGCAATCACGTGTTTTAGTCAAATCTTACTTAAACAAGATTACAAAACAGTTTTCTTCCAGGTAGCACAAGGTCAAGGAAAATTGTCCACTGGATTGATGTTGTAGGGTTGAAGACGTTCCAACACTCTCCTAATCAGTTGAAATTAAAAGTTAGTCATATTTGCTGTTATTTTTGCTCACCGATTAAGGCCAGAGGATGTTTGGCTGTTCATTTATGAACTAGAGTTGAGTGTTTTTGCAGTTCTTTGTGGTTCTGATTGCAGATGATGTCCTGTCTTGACAGGGTGGCTCTCCTTAAGTCTGACTCTTTTTGCTTTGGATGATACTTAAAACCTATTCCTTGTGCATTAAGCTGCTCAATTTGTTTTTACTGAAGTATCATTTGACAGTCAGAACTGGGTTGAAGTCTGGTCCTGAAGAGTAATACTGCTCTTTTGAGTTTTGACTGAATAATTGCTTCAGAGGAATGTTGTTAAAAGGCAAGCGTTTGGTTAATTAACCATCGTTGTGCAAACAACAAAGTCAGACACCTTTAAACTGTGTTGCCTGTAGAAAAGAAGGACTTTGGTCCAAAGCACTTGACAAGCTTTCACCTACTAGAACTTCATCAGAGAAAATATTTGACAAAAGGGAATCCCAGAGCTTATGATAGGGCAACGTGCTGCTGAGTGATGCCTTGTTAGCAATAAAATGTCAGTGTTTTATAATGCTGTTTTTAGAGCGCAGGCCTTAGGTTAAAACATGAGGGAGAAATGTACTTTGTGTTCTTCACACACATTTTCAAAAGGTCAAATCTTGGGCTAGAAACTGTTAATTAGCACCATCAGTGAATACCATCTCAGTGGAATAATCCCAAGTCAGAGAGGGCTGTTGCATAACCGTACTTTTCTCAGTAATGTCTTAAAGGCTGAACGCTGCAGACACACGGTAAACACAAGAGAGCTTTAGAGTTTAAATGATCGGAGCCATTGTTAATGATATTAGTAACACCTGTGCTTTTTTTACTATAACGAGTCAAAATTATCTGCAGTAAATATTGAAAACAATATGACAGTCTGCACAATGTGGAGTAAGATTGTAGTCAATGATCTTTACAAAATATTCCAACTGATGGAAGCAAATGTGGTCCTCTTACAAAATAACAGACGTGATTACATGAGCACATTTCAGCCAGTCAGTGGTGGCAGCCATGGTGCTACTGTAATGTTCAGATTATATCAATTGGGCCACTGGAGTCAATGGTTCTAATGATGACTCCATGCCAAAAAAAAAGCTCTTTTAGTTTTTCAAGATTTTTTTTTAATTAAATGAATAAAAAAAATGATTGAGCCTTGCCTTGCTTTCAATGTTGCTTTCTACAAGGCCTGCTAATGCAATATCTCACAAACTCCTGGGGATTTCTTCAAATTTGGCACCAACGTCCACTTGGACTGAAGGATGATTATATGTTGGAGGTCAAAGGTCAGGGTCACTGTGACCTCACAAAACACATTTTTGGCCCCTAATTCAAGTAGTCATATGCTAATTACAACACTTTCACACAATCTCTAATAGGGTAAAATAAGGATGTGATGACATCTTGGACAGACGTGGATGTAAACTGCAACTTTACTGGTTGGCGAAGGCACACAGCTGCGGTTATTCTAGATAATGTTCACCCCAGTTCTGTGATGGGCTCTCGTTATTTTCATTACATTTTTTGTCCTATTCCTTTGATTTGACTGTTTTTCCCCTGCTCTTTGTTCCGTCTTCCTTACTTCTTTCTGTCTTTATTTCTCTCTCTCTCTCATAATCATGATCATAGCATGTACTCCTGTCTCCCAAGGCACCTGACAGCCCAAGCCCCATGGGCTTTTTTTTTTACAACCATGTCAGAAACATCTGAAGAGCTTATCTTTTTGATCTTGCTAGTGCTCCTCTTCCCTTGTTTATTTCCTTTTTTTCAGCACCCATCTTTCCTCCTCTCCTCATTTTTTCCTCTGCATGGTCAGTTTACCTACGGCGCTGGAAGCCCACCAGAGGTGGTCTTGTCTCTTGTGGAAGGCAACACTTTCATCCTCTGCCCTCAAAAGAAACACTTGACTTCTTTTTTATCCATGGATCTGCATCCTGTCAGGGTTTATTTTTTGCAATCTGAACATGCTATGGCTGATGCCTAGCATATCCCCTGGCTTACATGTGGCCAGGACCTCAAAAACAGCCGCGGCCTTGTCATAACCATGTTCATAGCTATGTAGAAAAGAAGAGAAAAATCCATTATAAAATCCACTGACAAGGGGGAAACCATGTTAGATGCAGATGGGATGATAAAAGTTCTGGATGTATTTACAGTGCTGTCATCACGCTACTTCAGCCCTCTCGTTTTGTCACTGTAATGCTCTCAGATGTAACAACCTTTGTAGAAACGAGTGCTGTGGAACAAAAGAGAGCGAGAGAGAGAGATGAGAGATCCAGAGACAAGAGGAGAATATATGTAATAGCCTGAGTATTTTGGTACTATATGAGAAAAAGTGAGGCAGATACACAGAGCACATACTGTACAATCTGGCTCCTTTAATGCTTTAATGTCCTTTTGGAATTCAGTGGTGACTTTTATCATGGCATAGCATGACTCTCCCAAACACCAAAACATACGTGACTATCTAACTGATTGCAACTATGAATGTGTGTGTTGAAAGCAGATACTAATGTTTATGGATTTAAGATACTAGAAAATCTGTAGTTCTAATATTCAACATCTGTATATTTTACACACCAAACATTATGAGAAGTGCTGAAAGGCTGTTTTCAACCTTTCAAATAAATCCAGACAATAAAGTTCCCGGTCTGACGATTCACCCTCATTTTCTGAGCTAAATCAACAAGTCTGCATGGCATCTGCAGGTGCTTTCGAGGTCCCACTAGTGCTTCGTCACTGTCGGCTCAGCATCTTTTTAATGAAGCAGGACAGCGCTCTCCTTTGCTCTCTCTACAGTGAGCCATTTCACAGAGTACTTCACACACATATGCATAAATAGAGACAATGTATATAAACACAGAGCACACTGTACAGCATATGCACTCACGTTGGATAGCCATCACAGTCCCTTGACTATAAAGAGCTAATTAATGTAATGTTTTAAAAAGCGTTTGAAAACTGTTGATGTTATCGGATGGGAGTATTTTGTGGGAGGGACTAGGTATTCTTTCACTTTTTCCATGAGGGTAGTTATTGTGTGAATGCTCAATTTACTGAATATACATCCTTCAGCACGTCTTTTGAGCCCTACACCTATTCCTAGGTCTTGCTGCAATTACTCCTGGCAACTTTTAGGAGAATCATCCCCACAAAAAACGCACCTTTCATAGACCACAGCATATTAACAGCTGCTGCTCTCTTCAGGCAACTAGGATAAGATGAAAACGTATTTACATTTTGGACAGATATGGATGTAAACTGCGTCTTGACCAGTATGGAGGAATACAACCATGAGACTGTAATTCTAGTTATTGTATGTATTGTGCGTGTAACGTTTTTATGGTTGTAATGCTTTGTATTTGGTTTTTATTTTTAAATATAATGCACATTTTACAATAAAGTGTGTTTTGCTGATATTGCTCATTGATATGTGTTAAATGTACAGCCCTTTGAGACATGCTTTGTGATATTTGGCTTGGCAAAGACCTTACGAGCAGACACAAACACACAGACGCACAGTTTTGTTGAATGTTGTTAACTACAACATGGATGTAATTCTTTTTGGTCATGCTGTGTTTCTTTTTGTGTGTGTGTCTAATGAGCAGCCAAGGAGCGCATGGTGTGTGAACCGTTGTGTTCGGACACCGGGTGTTGGGGTCCTGGCCCAGACCAGTGCCTCTCCTGCAGATACTTCAGCCGTGGACGGACCTGTGTGGATACCTGCAATCTTTATGAAGGGTGAGTTACGCTTCATTCATGCATACAGATGACTCCTGACTGGTAGATCACATAATGTGTTGTCCTCTGACTGTCGTCAGGTCCTGATTGCGTTTTAGGTTTGCCCACATAAAAACGTGTACATCTCTTCAACTAACCACTACAACCAATGCATGTCTTCATCTCTTTCTGCGTGATGCAAAAAAAAAAGAATGTTAACCACCAAGTCATATCACAAAGTCTGGTTCATTTCAGATCAGTCTTAATACTTCGAACGTCCCTTTTACATATATTTTCCCCCTTTTCTTTTATAAAAAAAAATCCCTGTTAAATGCTGATCAGTTTCTTATAAATTGAAAGACAGTAACTATATACTTCATAAAGTGGCTTTTCCACCCTAATAAAGTCCTTTACAATGGATATCTTAAATGTAAATTGTAAATTGCATTTCTGAATTTTAAATTCACTTTTCAAAGAAAGCAAGTTTTTTGGAAAATGATGTACCAATGTATCAGTATAGTTTGTTATATTTCCTCCTGCGAGACGACACTATAAGTACAGTTGGCATCAAACAGGATCCTCTGGTGGTGACAAAGTTCTTACTTACTAACCGAAAGTGAACAATAGAAGAATATTCTGCTAGTGTGCTGTTAAACACCTGGTTTTCTAATATTATGTTTTAAAGCAAATGAACGAAATGTTCACCCAATTAGCTCTGATAAAATATAATTTTTACAAACAATATGAAAACTTGTGTGGAAGCATGTTTGAGACATGAGACAACTTCTGTCTGAAGTCCACAAAGTGTGGTTTGTAAATGATTCACTAATGTAACTGTGCTTTTCAAGTAATCAAGTACGTGACCGAACTCCGTCCAGAGTGAAGCAGCAGTAAAATGTGTTCCACTGATCAAATCAAGGACAAATATAGAAACATCCATCAACTCATCCTTTTCAGCTATGAACATGAATGATGCAATTTTTCAAATAATCCTCAATTGTCGGAAGACGTGCTGGAAAATCAGCTAATAAAAACTTAAATTCCAGCTCGAAAACACCCCAAGGCTCTTTGTTACAGCTTTCAAGTTCAGCAGTCATTTTTTTCTGTTTACTATGGATAATATTTAAGAGCCGCAGGGTAAATAGAAAAATTAAAGATGCGGTGGTTACTCTCTGTTTAAAAGACGCCCGTGCAGAGTGACAAAACAATGGGGGGGCCTCTACTTAAAAAGGAAGTATAGCTTAATGCCATCCTATTCTCACAAAAGACGGTGACAAGATTAAACCCACGAGGGGTTTTATTAATAACAATTTAGATTTATTTTTTCCAGAAGTGCTGGAAAGACGCTTTTGAGTTCAGAGCCCATATATGATCAAAAAAATCTTTGGTGGCCCACATTGGAGAGGAGTGAGGAGAACCAGAGGGTGCTGTTCGGGCAGGGGGGCTAGGCGTGTCACTGCGTGTCACAGTCACTGCTTGCGCACGGGGCCACGCCCTGCCTACCTGTCCATCTGCGCGTCAGCACCACCCACACCGTCAGCGTTACCAGCACATCATCTACCAAATATAGAGCTTCACTGAATGCAAACCCAACCCTTCCCTCTGAGCATTGCCACACTGTGTGTCTCACGAGTCACACTTGAAATGTTTCATATTTCGTCATTATTTGATGCCTTTATTTGTTATCTGCTCAGCGTTGACCCATCTAATGAAATCTCCTAGTTAAACTGTTTTTGTTAGAGCAGCTTTATTCCTCTGTGGAGGTAGAGCAAGTCTACAATAACAAGGATAGCATGACGCTATGCAGAATTTACTTCATATCAAGTGTGAATGACAAAAACTCAGGACTTGCGTAGCCACAAGATAGCCCTTTTTAGCCTCAGTAGCTCATTTACACATGGCGGTCAGACAGCAGAAAAATCGCCTTACACCTCAAATGAATTGTTCTTTGTTGTTGAAAATGTTGGCCGTGATTGTTCTAAATGCCAAAAACTGCAGTTTTAGTTGTCTGTGTGAACATACAGGTCCAGCAATACGGAATTAAAAAAAGCCATTTGAAATGAATGTTTTTGAATCAAATTTATATAAAGGTTTACTATTCACAGCAAATGTGTTGCTGTATCTTTGTATTTGTCCCAGAAAAAGCCAGAAAAAGCAGTTAGGCCGAATACAGCAGAACATCAAGCCATATAAGCTTTAAGCGTCAGTGATATCCTCCAGCTACACTGCAGCCTTTATTATTTCAACCAGCACACACCCAGACAAAGGCTAACCTCCCCTGACTCTTGGAAGGTTTTATGAAGGCCAGATGAAGCATAATTAATACTAATTTGATTTAGATCCCACTGGGCCGACGACATTTTTCCTTTTTATTACTAGAACATTCTGTTTTCCTTCACTGACCAAAAGAGAAGTACCCAAAAGTCATTCTCCTTGTCCTGGAGCGACAAAGGTAAAGTGCTAACTCAGCCGCACTGTGGTCAAATTTAATGACTTTTCGAGGCCACTCTGGTGTTCTACTATTATAAGGGGATTTCAGAAATTGAATAACAAGGCACTTAATTTAATTGATTTTTGAAAGCATTGCACCCCTCGCAGGTACTGCACCTTTTCAACTGCGTCGACCCCCTGCGTGATGGTATCAGTATTACAGTTAGCTAATTAGCTACAATGCTTGTGGGTTTAAGAATAATGTGTGTGTGTGCGTGTGTGTGCGTGTGTGTGTGCGTGTGTGTGTGTGTGTGTGTGTGTGTGTGTGTGCAAGTATGTGTGTGTTTGAGACTGCATATTGATGTAATCACTACATACTGACCTTTATTTTGAAAGTAACTAATGTAATAAATGACCCTCGTACTAGCAGATGAAAACAGAAGTAAAACAACGTGTTTATCACTTTCAATCCCTCCCTCTTGCTCCATTGTTCTGGAAATGACATCCTGGACATGAACCAAACATTATTATTACATTTTGCAAAATATAATGTGATATTGACTTTGAAATTCATATTTAGCAGGAATTCAACGGATCACTGCTTTTGGATTGTTTTCTTTCTTTTGCACAATTTGTCCATGAGGCAATTTCACTGAATTAGCCGATTTATATCTAATGAAAATATACTAAATTGAGTGTTTTGTATGCGAGTGCTGCATCACACTTACATTTGTATTAATCATATGACACATTTACTTTGTATTTTTCTGCTATATGTACTATCAATAATGGCTAAGGACACAAAGCCATGTTATTGCTCTATTTCACAAATAATGTTTTGCTTTCCCTCTTGTCACTCTCTTTTCCACACCCATCTTGATCCCTTCCCTCCTTGTCTCTCAGGGATATTCGAGAGTACGCCAATGAGTCCGTGTGTGTGGAGTGTGATGCCCAGTGCGAGCGAGCTGACGATGACTCCTTGACCTGCACTGGTCCGGTAAGCTTGCTTCTATACAACAATAGTAAGGCAGACATTGAAGCACTCGTTGTCATCTTAATGTAGACAGAGAACAGGGCTGTTGTTGCAGCAGTTTGTTTATGTTATGATCTTGTATCTATTCATTGAAGAGGAATGGGAGAATTATTCCATTATTGAAAGAAGAACTGCAGCCTCATGTGTCTTAAAGCTCGACGTCATGGAGCCAATATCTCATCTTAGTTATACTGTGACAGTGAAAATCAAACTAAAGGCAAGACTGAACTTTTTAATCAAGGTGGCTGACGATATTCTGTGTTTCTCCTATTGTCAACAAATCCCATGAAAAGACCAAAACCAACAATGAATCGAACCAGCTAAAAGCAGAATTGGCTTAAAGGGTTAAGTTGTTGTTTTCAGTGTTGAGCCCCCCAAAGAGGAGTGTTCAAGGCCAGAGCATTACTTCACTCACCACAAACCAAATGACTTGGAGCTGCAGACATTCCCTGTGGTCATCTTAGACTATGATTAGTTATTGTATTAGCAGTCAAAGTGTGCCTGTCAGCTGCGCTATTGATTACATCTCATGTTCTGAGTCAAAGGTAAAACTGATGGTTTAAGCCAAGATCAGCTTTATATTGCATGCTAATTCGCAGTGGGTTTTTATTCAGCACATGTAAGTTTGTGACTGTATATTCATCTGTTTTTACTTTTGAATTAACCATCAAAAATGTATTGAGGGACAGACATTTATTTTATTTTATTTTTTTTAATTAAAAGTAATTGATGGTTGTTTTTTTTTTTATCCAAAAGCCTTTTGTACTGCACAAGCTCTTAGAGAAGCACGGACGCTCTTTGAAAGATTGTTTGGTCGCAGCTGTACATTAGAAAAATGCCAGAGTGGAAAGAAAATCCCTGACCTTCATTTCTGTATGCCTCTCCTGCACACTACACCCACAGCCACATGAGGCCCCTGACCCTGCGCTTTCTCTTAAAATCGCATCTCGCTGTTTGATAGAGAGAGATGATTTGCGACAGATGCAAGCCAGAGGGGCCATGTGCTGTCTTTTGTGTCGCATCACACTCTGTCAGATAGTTTGCCCGATACAGTTTAAAAGTAGTCGTTTCTGTTGTGTTTTTGTGGAAGTGTGCAAACATGGGAAGCAGAGGCCAAGTTCGGTTGTTGGCTTTGAGTTGTTGTTGCGTTCGTTGTTGTTGGATGATATTAGTTGGTTTGATTATCTTGGCTGTCAGTTTGATACCCCACAACCCTGCACTTGGCATCTTAGACAAGTGCTAGGGAGATGAGTGCTGTGAAGAGAATAGCATGATTAGGGTTACAGCTAGTTAGTCAGAAATAATGCAAAATAAATAAAGGCTATGTTAACAGTTTTGGAGCATGTAGACATGTTTTGGGGTTAGATTCTTAAAATGTACTTCATACATGACTTTCAACAACTGTTTGTTATGGTTTTCAGCCTGTGAGTATGTCTGTACACGTGTTTGTATGTGTGTGTGTTTGTGTGTGTGTGTGTGTGTCTTGTCAAGCTGTGTATAATGGAAATGTCCCAGAGTAACCTGTTGCACCACAAATGGATTACAGCAATCATGTTATGGCCACAGAGCCCATAGCAATTACATTACGGCTTACACAGAGTTATTTGATCGGCCTAATTCCCTCTGTGGAGAGAGATTGGAGATATGACTATAGCCATGAATGAAGGCTATGCAAAGGACAACATTAAGTGATAATGGTAGATCTACAGTAGCTTAGGTTGCTAACTGAAGACTTAAGCTTAACTCAAGTATCCTATTGAATACCATCATTTTAGGCAAAGAACAAGATTTGTAAAAAACAGTTGCAAGTATGACAGATTGTTGCGTTAGCCATTTTAACAGGCAACATGTGTTAACCAGTGATTCTAGGGTCTTTAAACTTCTGTAAAAATTCCAGTAGAAAATAAAACACACTCCTTACTATTTAGCTACCGTGCTTACAATTATGCTTATATTTATTGTATTTGTATTGCTGGCCATCCGCAAATTATAAAAATATTCCCATCTGTTCAATTTTTGCGTCATTGTTCAGATGTTTCTGTTTCCTTATCCTTTATTTACACACTTTGCTTTACACACTTTGTCTTGTATATTAACCTGACAGCGTTTTGTTATTGATCATGTGTGTTTGAGAAAGATAACTCCGTTGAAGAAAGGGGCATATTCTCTCCTATTTTCCCACTTTTTATTTTTATTTTTATTCATCTATTCTTTGATCCCCTTTTCTCTCTTATCTCAAATATGTTTCTTTTATCTTTGAAACAAGTTGCAAAGCTGTTCCATTATGTATTGTCTTAAAAACAACTACTTTCATATATGATATCCACAATTCTTTCTATGAGGTCCTCCTATGTTTTGCAAATGTTGCAACACTTTGATAGTGAAACACATATCTAAATATGATACATTTGAATCTGCTGGGATGGATACATGCGCTGTACGACCACTACATTGAATTGCCCACTGTCATATTTATAGGAGCTAACACATCCATTTATTTCCTATTTGTGCCATTGTTTCTTTTCTACCTCCTCTCGCCCCTACGCTTATTAAATCTCTACCTCATCATTAATGCTTAAAAGATTTTGTGGTTTATTGTGGGAGTATATTTACAGACTACAGCAGATCTACAGCAGAGCATGATGACTTAGTCTGTGCATTATATCATAGTAAAATGTCTTGTAAATCCTTCCTGATGCACCCGATCATGCCTTGAAAAGTATTTTATGTGGCTGCCCATCTTGACTATAAACTCTGACTTCGTAAAGATGAATTGTCAGTCTGCCTGAGATGCTGGTGTTTGTGCAAAAAAAAAAAAAGGGAAGAGATAGAAATATAAATTTTCGAACACAACAGCTCACACAAACTTCGGTGTTAAGCGCACAGGCAGACCAATTTAAATTTACAGCAGGGTACTTTGGTCGCGTCGCTGTGCATCCCTGTCACTTTTTGGATGTCCCAATACCCTGCTGGACCAAACACTGTTTGTTTGCTCTGTCACATAATTTAGCTTGCTGATGTGATTGGACTAATGGATACACAGACTCACACACACACACACACACACACACATACGTACACACCAATAGCCACGGGTGGGAAGACACTCACAAAAGCGAAGTGCCAGGCTCATTGCTAAAGCCAGTGGGAGCAGCAAGACTTTCAATTTGCATAATTATACTGGGGTGGATGCATGTTCATATACACACACAAGCTACAAAGATAACACGCAGAGTTACTACATGCACTCAAACACACACACACACACACACACACACACACACACACACACATGCATGCTTACAAGCCCTTGCACTGATGCTACTTCTGGTTATGTATGAAAAAGCACTCATACACACTCCTCCACTTGCGAAAGGATCATTATCTTCCTTCGCCACCATCTTTTTACCTTGGTTACCCCTTGTTTATCACGAACAGTGTGTGTGATTCTGTCCTACTTGTCACGTATAGAGTTTGTGTAAATACATGTGTCAATTATTGTATGCAATTTGGACATCCATGTCAGTGTATGTTACTGAAATGCATGTTGATCCGATTTCCACTCACTTTGTTTATGTATGCGTGTTTAATTAGGTACTTTTAGGTAATTAAGTACCTTTACTCAAGTACTTTACCTGAGTATAATTTTACTTGAATATTTCCATTTTGTGCTGTGTTACTATACTTCTACTCTACCGCATTTCAGAGGGAAATATTGCACTTTTAACTCCACTACATCTATCTGAAAGCTATAGTTTCTAGTTACTTTTCAGATGAAGATTTTGACCATAAAAAGCTTCTAGACTGCAAAAGTATCAGTTTTTTTTACTCTCACTTATCACACATCTGATTGACACTCATTTGAATCTACGCAGCTGTCAGCACTGGCTTAACGTTAGTAAAATATTGTTACTCCAGATTCTGTGAAGTGTAAGGACAGAGGTGTCACTGAGGCAGTTGTTGATCTCTTGTGGCCCCCGACCTGCGAGTTAAGAGGAGTGCGTAGTCAGCAGTCAATGAAGGTATTCAACAGTCAATAAAATGTTTTTCAAATCATCACCACAACCATGAGAGGTCCTTGAGCATACAGTCATAAATGAGCGGCTGATGGGTCCAGAAGTATGCGAAATAAGCTGTGGATAGATATAAGAATAAGTCATTTTACTTCTGATACTTTTGATTTAAATACATTTTGCCACGAATACTTCTCTCTGTCTCACACAAGTACAATTTTGAATGCAGGACATATTCTTGTAATGGATTATTTTTCAATTTGTATTCTGGTTATTTTACTTAATTAAAGGATTTTTATACTTCTTCCACCACTGGTTTGTGTATGTGTGTGTGTGTGTGTGTGTGTGTGAGATGTTTGTCAATGAGATGTTCTTTAGGCCTTTTGATGATACAAGGCGTGTGTGGGAGAGCTCTTTGCCTCTCTGCCTCTCCTCCCCTACCTCCTTCCTCGCTTATATTAGCTCCATAAATCCTGTTCTAGGCGGATTGTTATGGTCATTGTGTGTGCTGTGAGCGATGGTTATTATCTGCCTGCTCCGCTCACACTGCTTTATGCGTCTCGTCTGCTCCCTCCCTCCCGTCCCTCTTTCTCTCTCTCTCTTATTCACATTATATCTTGCTCGCTTTTACTGCCTCTCTCCCCTTTACTGTTCTGCTTCCAAGTCCACTCTCTCTTTACGTCACTTTCCCTAATACTCTGTAGTACTTTTCACCTTCTGTCTTTTGCTGCCTGTTATCTCTCTTTCGTTCACACGCTTTAACTGCTACAAAAGCGCAACAATTTAATCTATACAGCTGCTAAGGAACCTGCACTTGGCAAGTTATTGATGTAGAAATATACCCATCAATCAGTCTACATTACACTCTGAGGCTACAGCAGATATTTAATCCCCTAAATTTGTGACACCGCAGATTTGTCCTTTATGCCAGGCTTCATGATGTCAAGTATAGTTAAAGTATATGGTCTCTACATAGGTACATTTGATATCAAACATCTGTGAGAGAAAGCCACTGGACCACTGGACTCACTAGTGATAACCAAACCTTTTGCAAAAAGACCTCTTTTCTGTCTCCAAACTCATCAGTCATTAACAACTTTGTAGGAAGAAGGAAGAGTTAACATGTCACTCACTGCAAACCTACAGCAAAAAACATTTGGCTTTTCCTTCAATTCATTCAATGTATTCTTAGCGCTGGAATGCAGTGTTCAAACTCTGTACTGTAAAGCAGGCTTCCCTAGAAATTACTCATGCTACAAATCATAATTATGATAATAACAATAAAATAATTATAGCTCCCAGTTAAGTGCCCTGCTAAATGGCAACATAGAACCTCGCCGATGGTTATGCATACACATGTACATTTTAGTCAGAACTATGTTTTCAAAAAAACCAATGCATTTTTTTTCTCTTTCCACAGGGCCCCGAGCGATGTGTGAAATGCGTCCATTTCAAGGACGGTCCTAATTGTGTTGAAAAGTGTCCCGATGGCCTGCAAGGTGCCAACAGCTTCATCTTCAAGTATGCAGAAGCCAACAATGAATGTCATCCCTGCCATGCCAACTGCACCCAGGGGTAAGGACAATCAGGACAAGGACTGGTCAGAGGTGTGGGGTTCAATGGTTATAACTCTAGTAATGCATTTCTGTGTTAATGTATTGCACTTGCTCGGTTGGCTATTGCGTAGCACTACCATGTAACTGGTGAGTGGTGCATCTTGCAGTAGCACACCAACTAGCCCTGCAAGTTCCAACTACATCACCAAGCTTAAGCAAGGACGCTCAAATGGATTTTCCTGTGCCGCTTTCTGGAGCGACAGGGTACAGACTATTTTTGATCATTGTCTCAATCTAAGACCATTTACACAGTGGTTTATTAGTGCATAATCAGAAATATTCCCTTTCATTATCCACGTCCTGCAAACAAAAAATTATGATCAAACAACTTGCAAGATAAGAGAAATTAATAAAGAGGCAAAGCAGAAAATGAGAGAGTAGAGTTAGAGGAGTCAGTGAAGTACCTTGCCACTCTCCGTCGCTCACTAGCCACTGATCGTTCAATGTAATATTCAACAAGGATTGGTAAGACATCACTTTGTATTGAACTCCACAGGGAGTTTATGTCACTTCCTTGTCTGTTATTTCTACTCTCCTGAGTGACAGCCTCCAGCTTGCTCGAGCATAGCAATGTAGTCGTGAATGGAAAACACCAGGCTGACAGTTGTCACAGGTACAGCTTTATAAGCGGATCCACCTCTCAAAAAACCTCGGCTGGGTGTAGGGAGAGAGATAGACAAAGAGGGAAAGAGACAGACACAGGATGAAACCAATATCCCTTACTTCTAAATATTCAAAGGAGCCTCAGTATTGTGGCGCTAGTATTACGACTGTCAGACGCCACAGTGCGCAGCACACATGGGAAATTTGAAATATCCAGACAGCAGGACTGGTGAAAATTCCAGCAGAAATCTTTGCTTTCTTTCTGTAGACAATGTAGCTTTGTAATCTCTCACCCATGTGGACACACTGAAACTGAACCTTGAGGATAAAGTTGTGACTCCTACATGCTATCACCAGCATACACACACACACACACACACACACACACACACACAGACATTGTATGTTTTGACAGACAGCAATAAAGCCTGTGGTGGACAGATAAGAGAAATCAATAGATCGTGGCTTAAGGTAGCTTGTAGAGTCAGGAATATGACCAGCACACCAATGTCCATACTTGAATGAAATTACTTTGACAATAAATGGACAGATACAAAGTAATCCAGTTCCATCCAGTTGGAATGCACTCAGACTCACTGTAGAGCAAACACCTTTACTCAAAGCATCTCACAGTAACATGAATACATACACTCTTGACAGGTTCCCTTTTGTTTGTCTGTCCCTGTGAGTTACTGTACAGTCACAGCCCCCACCAGACAAATAAAAACGCATCCTGTGCATCCCTACTGATGAAAAAAGAATACTAGCAGGGAATACGTCCCAAACCATGTTTATCTACATGAACTTCAAACTGGATTATTTATTGTATATCTTGTAGTATCGTTCTCTAAAATGTGCAACTTAACAGATTTCCCAGTACATAATGAATAATACAAATGTAAATCTTATTATAGATTATTATATCCCTGGTGTGTGAATGTTGCCAAAGTAGTGAGCTGTAATACAGTAGGCCTGCATTAAAAAAACTGAATTCAAGTCAACATGAGTGACCTTTCTCGCTAAAGTCTACACGTCCCATGACATGGGTTGGATTATCAAGCAAGCAAAATAGAAAAAGGCCACTGAGGGCAAATATTCCAAGCCAAAATGTAATAAACTAAAATGGGTTCAGTTTTTTTTTTTTGCTTGTCCTGTGTTTGTTTACTTAGGTGCATTGGACCAAGACTGCAAGACTGTATTGGCTGGATGGACAGGTACAACATTATTTTTCGTGTATTGCCTTTCATACGAAAACACACCTACACTGTAGCACACACCATGTACACACAGACACACGCACACCCAAAATAATATCAGTAAGCAACGTCTCTGATTAATGGCTAGCTCTAAGGTCCAAAATCCCTGAGTGTCCTTAATGCCTCTGTGTGTGTGTGTGTGTGTGTGTGTGTGTGTGTGTGTGTGTGTGTGTGTGTGTGTGCGCACAAGCAATTTGCCTGGTTCTTGATAAATTGATAGTGCTTTAGCTTTTGTTCTGAGGCTACTGGGAGGGTGAGGGAACAAATGCAGTTTACAGCAAATGGATTCAAGATTTCATAAGAGAAACAGTTTGGCATCAAATGGCTCTGAGAATTGTTGAGTGGTGTATGGGATATGATTTTTTTTTTTAAAGGAAAAAACAAGGCTTATAGGCAGGGTGAGCAACCAACACATAATAACTTACTTATGAGTCTGGAGATCTGCAGCACAACACTGCTAACATAACTAAAATCGTGCAGCAGGCTAAAACAGGACAGGATGCTTCAGAATGACAAATACGTACAGTTAGATACACAGACAGACAAACGGATAGTCATTAATACTGATTAATATTCAGTCATGAACCTTTTACTGAGACCAATAGATGCATAAGAAACATTCACGTCTTTTAGAGATCTGCTAAAAATCAAACATTCCTCTTCTGAATTAGTCTTTGGGACAACAACAAGATGAAGGGGCACTGCAGCAGATTGGTAAATGATCAGCCCTTATCCTATCCACGATAGCTGTGGCAAGGATACAGGAGTAGACGCCCAGCAAACCCCATGCTTAGCTTCCTGCTCTGAGGTGTTGTACATCTTGTAGATCTTTTACCGGTTGGAGGTATTGGCTTTTGGGCACGACTAAAAGTGGCTTATCAGAAATACATGATTGAACTAAGCCTTCAAAGGCCATCATTCCACCTGGCATTAACGCACATGTTGTGTGGAGATTGTGTGCATATCTGATTAAGCTGGATTAATCACTTCGTGTCACTTACTCATGTGATTATCAATTTGATAAAATTGACGTCCTCATTTAACATGTTCCCATTTGGCAGTATCTTTCCAATTTGATTCAAGACGATCAGAGCTGCCTGTTGTCTGATATCTCTGTGCTCCCTGATTGGCTCCTTGTGCATGAATGCATTTTGGTCGTGCGTCAAATTGTGGGTGACCTTTCTTGTTGACTCACTATAAACTGATTATTATTGACGAGTGCGAGATACATACAAACACATGCACAATCTTTATCGGTTGTAGAGTATACCTGTTGGTTAGATATGAAGCTGCAACCAGAAGATAGCTTACTTAGCTGGACAACGCCAGGCTTACTATATCCACCTGTTTCTAAAGTAGCACATCTAAAGCCCACTATATTATACAGATGAATCAAAAGAAGCATGACCATGTTTTTTAATCAGAGATACATTTTACATTTAGAAGAATTAAGTTATCAATTCTCTCTGGTGGACAACCTATGTACTGTAATGGTGACACGGTATCTAAATTACCAAAGAAGATACCGAGTTCTTCACATCCCATGAAGCCGACTGACTGTGATAACATTGTATGGAGTGTATTCTTGCAGTCTGTGATATACAGTCCTGACCAACAGCCTTTCTCCTTTGATTAAGGACAAAGTCTCAGTATGCCTTGATCAAATTAAGTTTTTTGATTACCGCAAAAACAAAGTGGGGGTTGGCTACTGGAAAGCCAACCCCTCCCACTCAGTTCTGCATAAACTCTGAAGACAGTTTGGGGATCATAGCAGGAAAACTGTCTAGAGGCTTGATTTCAAATGACAGCGTCAGTATGGTGCTGAGAATTCACTTTGATGGTTTTTTCCATGTTTTTGATCTCAGCCTTGGTTTCATAAGAGAGGGCAAAGAGAGATGTTTGGTACCAAAGCTTAGCATGAAAAAACATACAAAAACTGAATGTGAAAAGGTTTTCAAATCGCCCAAATACGTATGTACTTAGAGACATGTTTTATGCGTTTGTTGACAGCAACTGTCCTTATCCTCTCTAACCCCCCACCCCCTGGAGATAATGCGTCATGCTTTCTCATTGCCTGCATCCTCATCTGTCTCTTCATCATCTACTCATTTTCCTCCTTCCTTCTTCTTCCCCTCTTCAACTTCTTGTCCTCAGAACCCCTCTGATCGCAGCAGGGGTGATCGGCGGCCTCTTTTTGGTGGTGATCATGGTGCTGAGCGTAGCGGTGTCTGTGCGCCGTAAGAACATCAAGAAGAAGAGAGCCCTCCGTCGCTTCCTGGAGACAGAGGTGAGCAGGGCGGTCGATGAAGAAAGCGAGGAAGGAGAAACTGACGCATGTCGCGTTGAAAAATGATGTTGTCAGAAGACTGTGCATGACTGTGGATCAAAGGATATTGGTGGAAGTAGTATGACCTAATATTGTATGTTTTTGACTCACTAACTTGTCCATAGCTTAGGCTTTACAGACTCAAAAGCATTAAAAACATAGTGGAGAGACAGAAGTTGAAAAGATTAAAGGGAAATTTATGAAAAAGTACAAACAAATAGTTGTTTTTTTTCCGTAAGCGATTTTACACATAATTTATCATATGACGAATATGCCATTAATTTGAGAGGAAAACAAGATCAAAGACATTTGTCTGAATTCGTATGATTACAATGTTGCATGTGTGTGTGTGTGTGTGTGTGTGTGTGTGTGTGTGTGTGTGTGTGT